AGCTGGGCCCGACGACATTTCATATAGTATGCTACAACATTTACATCAGTCAGCCCTTGCAGTCCTTTTTACGCCTTTACAATCTTATTTGGTCACAAGGAGTTTTTTCCACAGCTGTGGAAATCCGCATTGTTTCTCCCTTTCCGCAAACCCAGGCACTACGGGACATGAAACCTCCCACTATCGTCCCATTGCTCTTACCAGTGCAGTTTGAAAAGTAATGGAACGCCTAGTAATAGACGTTTAGTGTGGTATTTAGAGACACACAACAGTCTCTCCACTCGTCAATAGGGCCCTTTCGTAAGGGACGTTCTACCATAGACCCCTTACTACGCTTGGTTTACGTATGTTCGTAATGCCTTTGCGAATAACCACTCAAATTATTGCCATATTTTTTGACCTTGAGAAGGCATATGACACAACTTGGAGGTATAATATTTTAGCCCAAGCCCCCCTTAGGCCTTCGAGGCAATCTACCATCCTTCCTTAAGAACTTTTTTAACTGACAGGCATTTCCGTGTTCGGGTTTTAATGTGCTCTCCCCGGACTTTATCCAAGGGTGAAGGTGACCCCCCGGGATGTGTTCTGAGCACAACACTTTTTCTCCTTGCTATTAATGATTTTGCCTCTGTCTTCCATCAAATATTTGGTCATCACACTATGTGATGACTTCGCTATTGCCTGTGCAGGCGCTGACTGTCACCTCATACAGTTTCTCTCCACATGCTGTCGACCGTTTTTTCCAAATTGGGCCACCACACGTGGGTTTAAATTTTCCAGCACTAAAACCCACCAAATTGCTTTCACTAAAATGCTCTGTCATCGCAGAAGGCGAAAGTTCCATCCTTACCCGATCGCCGTGATGCCCATTGCCTGCGCTACTATGTCGCTCTCAGATCTCCGCAATCCTTCCATTTATAGAATGGTCACTGATATTAGTAGACATTCTATATTTGTTCGCCGCCCCTGTTTACTCGTCCCTTCTCTCTTCGCCTTCATTCGCTCTTGTCTTCTCTTCAACTACCACCTTTCTATGTACATGTAGCATCTCACTTTTCCCTACCCCCTGGGAAGATCCAACTGTTCGAGTCTGTTCTTTCTCCCTCCCTTGCTCGAAAGCCCAACTGTCTACGGTCGCTTCCCGTCTCTTTTTCTTGACCACTTTCACTCTCATTTCATGCCTTTGGCTGTGTACACAGATGGGGCTCTAATGTCTTCTGACGGCGTAGGATTCGCAGCATTTTTCCGGACAGCGTCGTTCAAGGGCATTTACTATCTTCGGCTAGATTTTACTGCTGAATTTTATGCCACCTTACAGCACTTATCCGTATTGATTTTATGCCTGTGTCATCATTTGTGGTTGTCTCAGACTCCCTTAGTGCTTTACAGGCTATACAAAAATTTGATACACCTCACCCCCTTTGTCCTCCGTATCCAACTTTGGCTCGCCGCATCTTTACCAAGCATAAAGATTTTGTTTTTTGTTGGGTCCCTGGTCTGTGACGTACAGGGCAATGAACAGGCAGACACTCTGCGCGGTCAGCATACATCCCACAAGTTTTTTAAGAGGTATTCCTTTTTCGGACTTTTTTTGCTGCAATATTTTCCCCCCACCTTTTCACACCCTTTGGGCAACAACGTTGGTCTACTGTGCTGGCAAAAAAATTCAATCTTTTAAACGAGAAAGGGTTACTGGCCGTTTTTTTTATCACCAGTGTCGGGGTTGGGAGACTACTCTCCCCCTTTTCGCAGGGGCCATACTCGTCACTCGGGGATATCCCCTGGAGAGGTGTCGCTCCCTCTGTGAAAATTTCCCAAAGCTCCTTATCAGTCACCCACATTTTTTGGGATGCCCACTTTTTCAAAGCAGGGAAAATTTACCTCTGTCGCGTTTTCGCTCCGCTGCTCTTCTTTCCTTTCCCTTCTCGTGATGGACCCACCTTTCTCTGGACTCTTCATTGAACTTTTTGCAACAAACGACTGACTTCACAAATTCTGATACCTTCACCCTTTCACTTCAATCTCTTGCTACCCTCTACCTCCGTACATCCCCTGCCCCTGTTTTCTGTAACCTGCATATCCCCCCTCCCTTCTGCCTCCAAAACCCTCGCTTCCCTTCCCCACCCCCCGCAGGCTGTATAGCCCTTGTGGTTAGGCTTCTTTTTGATTAAATAATAATAAAAAAAATAATTAAAACCCGTTCAAAAATTCCAATTTCAAATGGGGGCCAGAATAAACAGTGTAGGGATTTTTGGCACTAAAAATAACATTTCCTTGTTCTTTTACAAAATTTGAGGTTACAAATGAATTCCTTTTGATTTTTTATTTACATAATTAATTTTTATTCAAAAAAAAAAATGAAGTTTATGTTTTTGCAATTTTTAATAAATTTTATAAAATATCATCATCACATTTTTGGAAAGTTATTAGACCCCCAGCTGGTGTATTAAAAAATTGGGTTGTTTGTTTTCTCTTGAACATCGGGAAAAAAATTTTAAAATTTTCCCCAAATTTAGTCATTTTTAAGCCATTTCCGTGCAAAAACCAATCAGAATCATCCTTTTCTGTAATAGTTTCCCTTTTATCAAATGAGACCCAAAAAAACGCAAAAAACAATATAAAAAACTATGAAAAGCACTGCGAATTTGCCGTGTTAATCGAAAATCATGGTCTCGTTTTTTTCTCTCTCATTATCACTGTGTGCTGCAGGATTTGTTTTATGTGGTGCGCACATACCAGATAGATGTATTCTCTCATATCTAGGTCCAAATTTACCACTCACAGTTATCAGAGTGAGCTGAGCTCATGGTTGTAGATCTACGGTTTGGACCCTGAATGTAAAGCCGTAGATCTATGGCACTGACCCTGAAAGGGTAAATCACTTAACTTACTTGCTACACTGTTACTGCTACACTTTATCGCTGGCTGGCGCTGTAGCCTTTATGAACTCCTGCTGCTTAAACCCTTAAACGGTCCAAACGTATATATACGTTCATCGCGCGTAGCGCCCCAAACGTATATATACGTTTTCTTTGTCATTCATTCAACATTGCCACAATAAGCCTGAGTCACCTAGACATGAGAGAATGGGTGTGTGCACTCACTGTGTTCCATATTAAAATAATTGGGGATGCCTGGGTACCATATGCTCTTTTTTCCTTTTAAAGAAAAGATTTTTTTTTTTCCTCAAAAAATTTGGTGCGCTACGCGAGTGAACGTATATATATGTTTGGACCGTTTAATTAAGGGTTAAGTATTGTACATATTGCCGAATCGCTGAAAATGGTACATTTATCCTTCTATCTCAGCCCTTTACCAAAGGGCTGGCTAGCACTGGGAACTTTCTTTGGGCCCGTGGTGACTTATTTAGCAGTTTTAAGCACTAAAAAGAATGGATAATATAAAATATATCGTCATGAACGCGTGGGATCGTCCTCACTGGCTGTACATGGAGTGTCGGGGCCACTCAGGCCGTGCGGACACATTCTGGACAAATGACTTGCACTGAGTTCAGTGACTATCACCAAGCCAATATTTTGACGAAAAAGCGTTACTTGTTTCAAATATTGCATATTCCGATGACGTAATCCAGGGGTCCACTGTTACGTATAATAACGTAATAATACGTATAATAATATGATACTACTATAATTATAGAGTGCTGCCACTAGTGGTACAGTGAATACCACAGCAACACTCACTGTCACCAGTGCACATCCTTACCTCTTGGTGGAGGATTTCTCTCGTGTTTTGCTCAGGTTTTGTGTAGTTATTTTGTCAGATTTCTTTTTTCTAACCTTGGGTCCTAAGAAAGCAAGTGGCAAAGGACAGTGCTGAGAAAAAATAAGAGGATGATGTCCATGGAAGTAAAGCATGAAATCATAGATAAACACAAGCGAGGTGTGTGGGTTGTGGACTTGGCCAGTACAGTATCTTGTCCTGCCTCCTGAGAGCAGGAATTCTGCTGGAACAGATTAATGGCATTTCAGTTAATCTAAATGAAGAAAATTGACTCGGCATATGAGCAGATCGGGTTACGAGCTAGGTCACAGAACGGATTAAACTTGTAAGCAGAGGTTCCACTGTGTATATGCTTTTCTTTCTTTTTGGGTCACCCTGCCTTGATCTACACATCCCCTACGCATTCTTAAGCCTCCTTGTTCATCTGCACTCCTGCTTTCTGTCTTACCTCCAATTCTTTCATTATAACCCTACCATACACTTTACTGGTATACTCAGTAAACTTATTCCCCTATAATTTTTACAATCTCTCTTGTCCCCTTCCCTTTATATAAAAGAACTGTACATGCTCTTGACAGTCCCTAGGTACCTTCCCCTCACTTACATTTATTAAACAAAAATACTAACCACTCCAACACTGTATAACCCCCCTCCCCTCCCCCTGCTTTTAACATTTGTCATGATCCCGTCAGTTCCAGCTGCTTTACCCCCTTTTAGTCTACGTAATGCCTTGAGCACCTTCCCCCCACACACATCCTGCTCCTCTTCACTCATAGAAGTTACCTCCTTGGTCAGTGCATGAAATTACTGCCACCCTTTCTTCATCAACATTTAACAGTTCCTCGAAATATTCCTGCCATCTTCCCAATACCTCCAACTCCCATTTACTAACTCTCCTATTCTGTATTTGATGGTCAAATCCATTCATTTCCTAGGATTTCTTAACCTATTTATCTCTCCAATTTTTGTTTCTTATTCTCAGCAAAATTTTGTTGACTGTAAATGTACCATATATTTACAATTTTTTTTTTTCTTCAAAAATATTTAATTAGTTGCTAGAGTAACTTTCCAATACACAAATAACCTGCACATAAAAGAGAGAAGCTTACGACGACGTTTCGGTCCGACTTTGACCATTGATAGTCAATGGTATTTCATGGGTTTTTTAGCATTTTTAATGAAAGAATTTCCCAATTTTAGCAATTTAAATTTGTCTCCAATCTTACATTTTTAACTATTTCTATATTTTTACTTTTCAGAACAATCCTAGACGAGCATATTACTAAGGAAGATGTCAATAGTAGAAGCAACATTTATGACAGGATATGGATATTCCTTCCATAAGCAAGTTTCAAATCATACAGGTGGTGATAGCCAAAGATACAATACAGTACATTTCTGTCACTGTGATGAATATGTTAGCATTAAAATTGTGGTGTTTTCACAATTTATCTTTTTTCAATAATTTCTTTTCCAAGTCAACACTGAAGATCAACAGCTTTATCACATTTAAATTTTTGTTAGGGTTTCTTGGAGCATTCCACTAAAAAGTGAAAAAATCTAAATGCTTGCAGGTTGTCATATCAGAGTCATATGATTTCATAAAACTTTGAAGTGTTTGTTCTTGCAGCTTTGTAAATCTTAAGGCTGTGATTGTAAGCTACTAGAAACTTCATTATGTATGTTTGTATATACTTAGTGAAGTGGTGCATCCAGACCTGGCCTCAAATTATTTTGGTTATTAACTGTTTTTTGTTTAAAGACCCAGTAACACTGAAAAAAATCATTACATTGTTATGGCTATTTCAGTTTATAACAGTAGCCACTTTCTTAGACTAAGAAAGATATATGGAAAGAAACTGTTGATGCAAATTAATGCAAGAAGGAGAGAATACAAAAATTGAACAAACGGACAATAAGGAAAAGTTAAACGCCTTCAAAATATAGGATAAGTAAAGGAAATGTGTAACTAACCACTAAGCAGTGTTTGAAAGTGATGTGAAAAAATTATAAATAATTTATAGACAGGGTCTCCATGCTGTAATCTTTTGATAAAAACTAATAACTCACTGTTTCAATATTCAGTATAGACCATTGGTGGCAGAGAGAAATAAAATAAAATACTGACCACTGTGGCTAAAGACTGTGTAGTAAAATGTGATCCTTTATTGACAGTTTCATCCATGCAGTGGAAGTCTTCATGTGGGTTAAAAAAAAAAAAAAGTCCACTGTTTGGGCAAAACATTGTCAGCAGGGGATTGCAATTATACTGTATTGTCTTTAACCATCACCAATGACTTTATTCAAGGTTACCACCCACTCGAAGACCATTAGTCATCTACCTATAATTGATTTTTTTGGTATGCCATAAACAATCTGGACCTTTTTATTAACAGGCAAATTGAATGTCAAGCATTGAATACTTGAAGTTGTTAAGTACATCACCTTAACCCGTAAACAGTCCAAAGTATATATACGTTTTTTCAAAAATTTGAAAGTATGTAAAAAAAATAGTCTTTTTGTTTTTTTACATTTGAAAATGTGTAAAAAAAACTTTGATCTACTTTGTAGCGCTACACATGTGGGAAAGTAGATCTGCTTGGACCGTTTACGGGTTAAAGTAAATGCGCTTTAATT